CATCTGAAAACTACCACCACAATGGTCAATAATATCATTGTGAAATGTGTGTGACAATGTTGTGTGTGGATTTATGGATACTCACTGATATTATGCTTCACAGTCTGTGACTAAAAATGTTTAAATTCCCCCTAGTATGTCAGGGGGTGTTGATAAACAGGCTCTCTCCAGACAAAGGAAAGAGGCTAACGCCTCTGAATTTAGCCATACCTGGTTAATGGGCTATTCATTTGTATCAGAAGTTGCAGGAAGAGATAATTTGTATTGTAAAAATTACCAACAGCAGAAAAGACAGCATGGAGTCTGTACCAGTGTGATGGGGTGTTCACCCCACACTTGTCTGGAAAGGGTTGATGTAGGCTAAGAAGGAGGCAATTAACCAGAGAGGCCACAGCTGATAGGAATCAGGTGGCTTGAGTAATCCCTTGCCTGAAGGAGGGAGCCCAGCTTAGGAGGAATGAGCTGTGCTGGATTTATAAAGCCAGGAAATTGGTTGCTGAAAGGGGCAGTAGGGAAGTATGCTGCAGTCACTCCCTGGCAGAAGAGAGGAGTGTTTGGAGGCTGCAGAGACATATAGCCTACAGCTACTCCCTGGGAGGAGGAAGTGGTGAATCCAGCAAACCCAGAGATGGCAGAGTGCCAGACGGTAAGGAAAGGGGCTCAGGGAAAGGACTAAAAGGAAATAGACCTTGACTGCTGTCTAGAGGCTGCCTGAGCTGGAACCCAGAGTAGAAGGTAGGCCCGGGTTCCCCTGCCAGCCACTGAGGGAATGGCACTGAGGCACTGAATGGGACAACTTCCTAGGACTGCTGAAGGGAGATTTTGATATCCCAGAAGAGGAAAACATGTATAGGGACCTGGCCGGAGGGCTGAGTCATGAAGAGGGAGCAGCCGCTCATGGTGCGAGAGAGGGGTTGCAGACCCAGAGAGAGAGAGGCAGAGAGACAGCATGCCACTGCGGAAAGGAGCATCGACCTCATGAGCTATTTTCCAGAGTGACCAGGAGGAGGTGCCAGCCTAGAGGTGAGTTGAGCACCCCATCACAACCAGACAGCATGGCATCCACACCCAGCAGGGAAAAGGAGCTTTATGTGGGGATACATTTCAGAAGAATACATTGCAAAGGTTTACTGGACTATAAGGAGGAGTGAACTTTCTAATGGCTAAAACATTTTCTCATCACGTAAAGGATAACTTAAGGGTTTGCCTCCTGGTCTCTGGTGATTTTTCCTATGGAGACAAACCCTTCAACACTTCTGAAAATTTTACACTACATGGTTGTGAATGGACTGTGTCCTCTGAAGAGACAACTATATGGCTTTTTGATACTGAGGTCCTACCCTCCTCTACCTTCTCATAGAAAGTTTGCACTATTAAAAGGCATAGCCCCGGATACATACAAGAGGTTGCATTACCGAAAATTGAGGGTGATTAGAAATAAACAGAAAAATGTTGATTGACAAAGAAATAAGTGTGATTTTTTTCAAGTTAATGTGTTCCTATTTTTAACTTATGTCAGTTCTTAGGATTCACACAGTACACTGATCATACTAATGCTTTGGCTACATTCATGAAGAAGAACCACTTAAATTTCTATAGCACCTCGTGTCCCAAAGATCTTGGCAAAATATGCATAGGATTACTTCACCTTCACTGCAATGCAGCCATCACTGAGAAGAAATGCACCAACTGTTTAACAGTGCACAGGAATGCTACCTCGCAGTTTAAAACAAGAAGAAAAGAAAACGATGCAAATCTGAAGTTACAGATGGAGTTTGAGGTAGAAGGGATGTAAGTATGCATGCTGGAATTTGGCCAGGACACGAGTGTTAACTTTTCAGTAAGTACAAGAGGAACCTGCCCTGGATGTGTGCATTTACATAGCAGGGGTTAATCATGTACTTCCTAATCACCTGAGTAATAATTTCAGCACATGTGTAGGGCACTGCTGGCTGCACTGTGCACTTTAGAGCAGTGGTTCCCAAACTTGGGAGGCTGCTTGTTCAGGGAAAGCCCCTGGCGGGCCGGGCCGGTTTGTTTACCTGCCGTGTCCGCAGGTTTGGCCGATCGCGGCTCCCACTGGCTGCGCTTTGCCGCTCCAGGCCAATGGGGGCTGTGGGAAGTGGTGGCTGGTACGTCCCTCGGCCGGCGGCCGGTATGTCCCTTGGCCCGCGCCGCTTCCCGCAGCCCCCATTGGCCTGCAGCAGCAAACCGAGGCCAGTGGGAGCCGCGATCGGCCGAACCTGCGGACGTGCCAGGTAAACAAACTGGCCCGGCCCGGCCCACCAGGGGCTTTCCCTGCACAAGCGGCGTCTCAAGTTTGGGAAAACTGCTGTAGAGGGTTCCCAGGTTGGTATGGGACAACCCATGAGTGGGCCACTACAGTAAAAGAATAAATTGAGATCATTATGTGTTTTTTAGTGGGTGAAGGGAAAGGCGGTTAATTATATATCAGCTATTAGTAGCACTTATCTGGCCACAGAGATTCTCTCATTATAAGTGGCCTTATAATTTTATAAAAGTCATAAAAATGATAACACTTTTTTTTTAAAATCTGATTGCTTGATTCAACTGATGAGTTTTAATTCTCTCTGGCAATGACACATAACTGGAATTCCCAGACTAAAATGAGATCATCTATGCTCTGTTGAAACCAAAAAAGAAAGATTTTTTTTTAAACTCATTTACTTTAGTCACTACTCAAGCCCCCACACACTATATCATTAGCTGTGATTCAGAGGTGGGAGGGAAAAAACCCCACAGTATTCTGGAGAAAAATTAACAGCAAAAAATCATGACACACACACAGAGGGAAACCTAGCAAAACATGAACTATTCCATGACCAACCTGCTGATAAATGTTCACCCTCATAAAAGCAAAATAACTTTTGTTTGGCTAATAAGCATCCATTTTCCACTTCCCTATTGTTCTGAGGCAGACAAGGTTGTTTTCACACCTGACCTAAGATAGATTTGTTTGGTAATTAATGGAGATGTAGAAAGAAAAACTACATCTACTCTCAATAGCCCACACTGGCAGGATTTCCTTGCCTGCAGTTGTCAGAATTTTCAATAACTGTTGGTTTAGATGTCATAAGCCATTCTACAGATTCATATCCGTTTATTCACGTTTGGCACAACTCTAATGGTGAATACAAACTTTTGTCTTTGAGAGAGAGGAAAGATAGATTTAATACTGGCAAAGGCAGCCTAACAGGAATTCCAATTTCTCCAATATAGTCAAGCAGGCTCTACAAACCCCAGAAATTCAACTAAGATTTTCCTGCTAGTAGGTTGGTAATGGACCAGCCCAGGGAGAACAGGCTCACCCAGAGCTACCTCTGCCTCATGCCTCATCTTATCATCAACTTCTTTTTTTTTAAGTTGGGGTTTTCCTGTTTAAGTTTTGGTTTTAGTTTTCCAGTAAATGTTGCTTGCGTGGCTCGGAATTAGACATGAGTTCATGCTAAAATCCCAGCTCCAAACACTGCAACCAGACCTGGATTTGGATCAGAGTTTGCAGCTCAATCTTATCACAATAGCAAACAAAGTCTCATTTAGTGGCAAGACACTCTCTCTCCAGCCAAATCCTAGATGTTCATGGGAGAGACCTGTACATTCCTTTTCACCTTCACAAAAAAGCAATACATACCACAACGTTCGTTTCAATGTGAATGGTACAAAATGGTCCTGTTAAAATGGAACTCTGTAACAGAACCTAAGAATCTAAGTATGTTTCAATGTGAGAAATTTCAGATTTGGATCTGGATTTCGAATCCTCTACATTTAGCACAGAGTTGACATAACTGGCTCCTATGCATGGGGTGTTGATGGTATGGAAGGGAAGATGTCAATTAGCTCTCTCTCCTTTGTATGGCAGCTATCTTCTTCTTGACTATCTGATTGAGAGCTTTCTCCAATACTGTATTCAGATGAATGAGAAAGAGAATTTGGCATATTCCCTGCTAAACACTTACATTTCTGTTCATGTCACAAGCTTCTGATGAGCTGTATCTCAATGACCTAAGACATATCCAAAGTATTGTATCTCTACAAACTCAAAACTCTCCCATGTCTGCGCTCACACAGCCTCTCACACACATCCAGCATAGAATGAGGCAATGAGGAACCACATTACAAGCCCCAGTACAAGATTCATTCACTAATATTTAAACTGCTTCCCCACCTCATATTCCCAATTCCTCTAATGGCCATTCACCCATCTTCCTTGCACAGTCACATACTGGACAGAAAAATCCCATGTACATTTATTAACACCATGACCACTAATGAAATCATATAGTTCTTATACCCCTGAACTCCAGAAGTAACCAGCTTTAGAAACCTCACAGTGGTGGCTGCATCACAGGGTTTTCTTTTTAATTCAAAGAAAAACTTCACCATCTTTCTTTAATGCTATCAACCCGTAAGCTTGACAGTAAGGATTAAAGATTGCTCCTTCTTTCTCACTTGGTTATTGGAAAGGCTGTGAAAGGTAATCAGTCTTGTGAAGCTACACTTTACAGTCTGCATAAAATGTCATGATTCCCAGTTCTCTCCCCAACCTAATTGAAAGTGCATAATATTGCACAGCTGGGGAAATGTAAACTGTAAACATATGCAATATATCACACTATCACACAAAACCCTGTTACGAATGGGCACTGGGTGATCATCAGGACCAAAAGGGATCGAAAAACAGAGTTTTGCTGAAAAATAAGAACTTTTCCCATCTAAAAGAGAAAAACACACTTTCTCAGCAGCATAGGAATTGGATTGGAGGCGGTTCATTCATTCTGTTTGTGAAATATGGACCTTTCTATAATGATTTCTATTTGACTGCTGCTTTATCTAGACCCTTCACGGGTACTGTTGGGGCAAAGGCTGTTCTTGGTTAAAATGATGGAAATCAAGAGTAAAACCATTTTTTTCTACTCAGTAAATACAAGTGCATGTGAAATTGAAAAATCAGGTGATCTGCAGCCATTGGGTAGTATTACCTGTCACCAGAAGTCTGTGGATGGTGCTGCTTGTTTATCTTTGCATACAGTCCTTCCAAACGCTCCCTCTCTGCTGGTATTGAAGGGATATCCCGTGAGTATCCAAAGGTTTCTGCTACAGGTGGAGACGATGGCCTGTAGACATTTGCTGCTGGGTAAGCCTCTCTGAAGTGATTCACTCTGGCATAATTTGGGTCCATCTCATCGTCATCATCATCATCATCAGGTGGTGGACCTACAGGGCTAGTGGAGTAATCAGCAAGCCCTCTTGCCTGCTTTTGCCGTAACTCCTGATGTTTTGCACCGATCCTAATCGTTAGGAAGAAACAAAGAAACAAACAACACGTTTGGATTTACTCCGGCAATGACAGCAAACCAGTGATGCATCAAGCAAAATTTTAAAAACATCTCTCAGCTGTTATAAATGTAAACTAGCTGTATAATTCAGGACAGTAGAACTCCAATGCAAGCAGAAATCTCTAGGTTCTATTCCTTTGGCATGCAGCTTTGTAAACAAGGCACGTTGTCATTCTGCACTCTGACAACAGATTATTGCAGAGTAGGGTGCAATTTTTCACAAGTATTCCTGATAAGTGTTGTTTGTGTATGCGTGCACAAACACCGCTTTAATCATACACAGATCTAATATTTTAGAAATACATCTCTACCAAAGGTCTGTGTTAAAACCACAACGCAGGCTTAAATATCTAACCTAATCTTCAAACTTTTCATCTAAATTAGCCAAGAAAAATATTATTGCCTCTTTGGCCTCTTGACCCACACATATTCTTCTAAATAAATTAACTTGCGAAAAGCGGATTAAACGTGAAATAAATGTGAAGATGGCACAGTTGTTTGAAAAGCAGTAGCAAAAGTAATTTGCTTGAGATTTAAATAAATATATATGTATATATTTGTTCCATAAATGGAAGACCTCATGCCTCATTATATAGGGGCTAGGGACAGAGTAAAACAGGGAAGAAATTAATAGAAACCTGACAGAGATGGATTGGTACATATAAGTGAATTAAAGACTATTACTGGCAGTGCTCCACTGTGATAAAGCCTTAAGTGGTATTACAAAACGCTTCTGCTAATCAGTGCCATTATGTAATCTGTGGGGAATCAGAATGGTAAAACAGATTCAGGTAAATTTCAAACCCAAACTTCAATGATTCAACATTTACTCCTGAATCAAAAAATACAATAAAATTCCATGAATGTGCAACTTCTGTTAAATGTTCAGTTCCTCTTTAAGATGGCATAATTAAACACAAAGAGAAGAATGATAGCAGCATGCTGACCACAGTATGAAGAATACCATGGAGTAAATGGTACTGTACTTATGGAAGTGTGTGATGTAGGAAAAGATGCAAGGCAAAAGCATGCATCGCACCTGCACTGGCTGCCATTAAAAAGTCAACATTTGCCCACTGTCACTGTATCTGAAGTATAGTAGCATTTCCCCCTACTTGATAAATACAGTGACTCAGTCTATAGAAAGAACAGGAGGTAGGAAAATACTCATTGTGGTTAAACATTGGTGATGACTGTGGCCAAAAACACACAAACAGCGTGTGCAGGACAAATAGTCTAAAGCCTGGAGATGACAAAAGAAGAGGTTTTGGAGAAAATTTGGAAAGGCCCTGAAAGATACGGAGCCCCGGAAATAAGTCGACTAAACCAAATTGGGATATTAATGCATTGCTGTACATCCAGGTGATCCATTCTTTCCAGATATGTGCCACCAACTGGAATATGTACCTGAGGATTTTTATTTCGAGTCATTAGAAAATATATCTCATTAGGAAAAACCAAGATGCATCTTGTCATGGGGTGGGATGATGCAGCAGACAGCTCTGATGGGTGTCAATGAGATACTGCGGTTTTGGCAGCTGGCAGGAGGGAGGGATGGAAAAGAGGAAAGTGTGTTCAATTTTTTCTCTCCCCCTTCCTTAGTCATGTAACACTCCTCTCCTAGGTCACCCTCCCTCTTTCAGAGTAAAACCTAACATGTACAGTCAGCAACAGGTGGATGAAAGAACAGTAGTTTTCTGTGTCCTCTCTACTGTTTTCTCCAAGTCCTCTAGCCCCGATCCATTTACTGCATTTTCTGTAATTTTTCTGCAGATAAGTCTACATTTATTTATTTATTTTTTCTGACTCTTACCATATTTCATGTTTCCTTTTTTATTTCTTTGATCCTACTATGTTCCTCAAACCACTTGGGCTTTCTGTTCTGATACCTTCTATGGTTTGTTTTCTCTTTTGGCCTTCTCCTGTTTCTCTCCTCTATCCAGTCCTGTTCTCTCTGTACCCTTCAGCCTTCTCTGCTTTTCTACCCCCCTCATTCTCTCATTACACCACACACATTCTTTGCCTCTCATTCACATGCTGGCCCAGCCAGGTCAGTAGCCTTGTGTAGATGGTGGAGGTTGACCAGCCTGTAGGCTCACCACTCATAGCACTGCCAGGATTCAGAGTGAGTCTTTGATTCCCCACGGATCTGCTACTATGTGAATGGGAGATTTCACTGGGGGGTCTCATGGAGGGTATATCATGGTGTTGACATATAACAGAGCTGGTCAGTGAGGCACACATGCTCCCACCTAGTCTGTTGTCCATTTCATTGGCTCAGCTGGCTTATGGCTCCTTCAGAGGGTCAGAGTTTGATGGAGTTTACATAAAGTGGGGGAGAAGACTGTTTTTGTAAAACAGACAGGGACACTGGGACAGATATTGAGGAAAAGGAACATTGCTTTATTCAGGGACACATGGGTACTCTGGGGTGGAGAAAAAGGCAAGCATGGATATACAACTAAAGTCTGAAATTACTACAGATGAAAACAAACAATAATAAGCAGTGATTGGTGTTCCTTTCTATACTGTAGCGTCAAACCTCAGAACAGCCCTAGCACGAAGAATTAGTGAGTAGATGAAAATATGCAAAAGGCTTCATCCTCTGCGGGTTCCTGAATAACGATAAAAGAAAGACTGCACAGCAGGAGGGACCCAGCTTGCCCATGTCAGCGTCGCCAGAACAAACTCACCAAATTTTATGTTAAGTAATTTTGGAAAAAGTTCTACCCTGATCAATTCTTGCAACAAAACAATCTTTGCAGGGTGAGTGCAGTATGCATCCTATTGTCAGGGAGTGCTTACTGTACTATGATGACAGGGATGGATTTCCATTTGCAATACAGCTATGGACATCAATACAGCAGGGAGTTTGTATCACTGGTTTCTGTCTTTTATCCATAAAGTGCCTTCACAAGAAATCATCTTGTAGAAAGATTAATATTTTACATGCCCCACATGGCGTTACGTTTAGAAATGTAAAGGTGAAAGGACTCTATTTGTTTACCCCCCGCCCCCAAAATACCTTATAGCTATTGGACCCAATACATTTATCAGTTCTATAGTCCCTGTCTCTGAAAGTTCTGCCTTTTGACCATTAAATGCTTTTATAGCAATTTAAGACTATTTCTGCTATTGGGCCAAACCCTGAGAGATGCTGAGCATTTGCAAATATATCCAGGAAACTGAAGACAGTAGACCAGATCCTCAACTGGTCGAAAATGACATAACTCCATTGACTTCAGTGGGGGTGCGCCTATTGACACCAGCTGAACATCTAGCCCAATACCTTTATGTTGCACATCAGGGAATTTCTACAGGTGGGATAACATACAGGTTTTCTACTAGCCTTAAGGATGGGATGTTGTATCTCCTTGGATGAGGGAGGGAGGGCAAAAGCAGCAGCACATAACATTCTCCAGAGGAGAAGACTTGGAGCAACTCATCGGAATTGAAATGGTGAACTGAAATGGACTCTGAACTGATACACACCATACCCCTTAGAGATCGCAGACTTGAAGGTAACAGAGTAGCATGACACAGTGGCATCATGTGTAACTTGCTTTCATGTTGGACAGTGAAAGTAATTTGTTCTGCCATCAATACTGGTACCTTCTGCACAACAAAAGCTGGAATTAGGTTAGCACAATTTTCTTTTGTTACTGTGAATAAGCCTAGCTTCTTCAAATTTTCCTTATAATGCAGCCTACAATCACTTTCACTGCTATGATCTGTACCTGCTCAAGAACAATTACTCCCTTTCTATATTATGCTGACCAGTCAATGCCAGTTTATGTGAATTTCTTGCTGATCAATGTCTCATCTTTTCAAGAGGGCTATTATAATTGTATTAATATTTCTTGTTTCTTTCTCACTCTTCCATGGAAATCTATAACTTCTGCTCAACGATCTCTCTTTTACTCTTTCTGTTTTTCATTTCAATCCAAGCTCTACCCGATGTGAGTACTGAACTACACGGCTGTACAATTTCAGTTTTGTATCTACCTATTTTACTAAACCTTCCTTTATTCCTCTTACCCTTGTCATTTCTATTTTCTAAAGTTTTTCCATTTTCCATTTTCTAAAGTTTTAAATATCCTGATTGCATAACATCACCATGTTCTGACCCAATCCTTAAGAACATTTGTTTTCTACAAAACATACCAAATGAGTGCCTAATAATCTTTTATCCTGCTTCACCCTATTACCTTCCTCTCCCATATCACATTCTGTCTTGCCTTCCAAACCTGCTGGCTGTTGCACATTTGTAGTGTTTCACCCTGTTCCCTTTCTCTTTGTTGCTTTTTCTTATAATTTAGACCAGTTCCATCTCTTACCCTCATCAAAAAAATCTGCCCGATCAACAGAATTGTCACAGCAAACAGCCTTGAAACTACAATGAGAGTACTACAATTACAGAAGAGCCCAACATGTAACACAGGATGGGTCTGGTTAAACAAGTGGAAGCAAGAGATTACATGTCACTCACCACCCTGACACCAGCAGTGAAACTAAAGAGGAGAGGCACAGGTCACAATCTGAACAGTTTAGCCTAATACTAAGTTTATATAAACTTCCTGATGAGGGAATGGGAAATAAACCACATAGGATGGAAGGAAGCCAGTGACATTTCCCTTCTGTATCCCATATCAATTCTGCTCACTCTGTTCTGCCACCTGAAACCAAGCATCCAGTTAAATCACTGCCTGACAAATACATCAACTTCCGTTAGCTGTGCATCTGTGCAAACACAGCCCTCTCACCTAGGTAGCTAGAGCACAGGCATCTTAGAAATGCTGTAGCATGTCCTGCCCTCTTAACTTCCTGTGATCCCTCTCTCTTTTAATTGTCATCCAAAGCCAAACATGTAGTTCCTGCCTAAAGATTTTCCGTAGCGTCCCATGGCCCAGAATCTATCATGCGTAACTTTTCCTAGCCACAAATAAGCCAAT